AGCACTGTTGCACTTCCTCACAACACAAGCGTCATCATCAGCGCTCCGTCATGTGCCTGGTGTGTTCTGCTTGTTGGTTCCCTCTCACTTCCTTTCTCTAACGTGTGAGATCGTCTCATGAGTCCACCGTCTCCACCTTTCTCCTGAGCCACCAGGCTGGATGTTTGGACTCTGTCTGCTGTCACTAGTTTGTGCTGCTGGTGCCAAGTTAAGGTGTTACTGAGGATAAACAGAATTCACACTATAATGAGCAGTGACAGGATGTCAGCCGCTCTGCCACAGATCAACCCCCAGCCCGCTGCTGCCACCCCTTCACCCACCTGCACACATCCAGCTGAGTCCGTCTGGCTCTGTGATGTCACCACAAACCCCGCTGGTTTCTGCAGAACCCATCGGCCCATCGACGGTGCTGCAGCAAGAGGGCATCACTCATTTTCGTTTCCCCAACGCTCAGCCAACATGACTGCGTCGGCCGTTCGTTCTGACTGAAGTTTTACCGTCTTTGTTTCTCACATGTCCTCATCCGGGCCTCTGATCTCCTCAGAAGTCCAGAGAGAGTTGCCCTCTCTAAATCTGAATCGCCTTTTAGCCGTGTTTGATCGCTGGCTGAGTTATAGATTTCTCCATGACTCGTAACTCAGGCGCCAGAGTCGGATGTCAACGTAACATATGTTGTTTTTCCGCTCCCCTGCCACACAGTGTGTGTGAGCGCTTGTTGTGGGATGTCTTTGCTTCCCGAGCTCTGTGGCTTGGGATGCCTCGAAATGAAACGAGTTGACTTGTGACTGGGACACGACTGATCAGCCACGAGTGATTTCAGCTCATCTGAGTGTTTCAGGTCAGGGTTTTTATAGTGGCTGAAGGCGTTGCACGTTTTCAGTTTGAACAAGAGTGTAACGGATATATTCCTTGAACCCTGTTGACCCGGCAGACCCAGAGTCCTGCCCGTTGGGGTGGGAGCCACGTTTCCTCTACAGAACCATTTCAAAAAGCTGGAATGCTTCTACAAACTGCAGAGTCTTTGCGCTCGTATGAAACGTTCTGTTTCCTAAACCCGGTGCCTTCGCCTGTTTTGATTTCCTTTGTCTCTGCGTGTCTCTGAGCCGGTCGGTGCTGAGCGAACGGTGAGGTTTCAGGCCAGGTTCACGTGTCGGCTAACTTGTTCCAAATGAGTGTGAGGAATGTCTGCCGCCGTGCTCTCCTTATTAACCAAACATCACCTTGTCAGACCCTACATGCCTGTTCAGAGCTCCTCCCTGTGCCACACATAATGAGATGAATATCTCACATCAGCTTTCTTTAATTACACTTACAACATAGTGAGCTTTTCACCAGCCTCCTCCTAAGAGCGCATTTTATACGCTCGCTCTCTATCGTGATCAAATAATTCCCATAAGGAAGTGATTACACATTTGGATAATTCTGAGCAGATGTGAAAATGTCTCAACAAGTTAACAAGGCGGCGGCAGCACGGACCTCGTCCAGAAACATCCTCCAGAGCCTCGAGAAGGATGATGGTGGAAACACTGCTGGCTATATGTGAGCTTTATGCACCGAACAACTTCCTGCTCCAGTTCATCGGAGTGACGACTGTTCTATACGCAGGCAGATTTCAAGTTGAACTGGAGTGAGACCCGCCATCAGCTCACGGGTCGTGTTCTGAGCACTTGGGCAGATGTACGACTATTTTTAGAAACATCTGCAATTGTCAACAAAGAACAGAGCAGAGCATTAATGCAGCCGTGAAATGGGGAGGAGGCAGCTTCAGGAAATAATCACATTAGATTTATAACTTTCTTTTATTTTTACTGTTCGGCCGGCAGAGCTCAGATTTACTGTGTTTAGTTTCTTTTTCCAGATCAGAACTCTCTCTGTATATAAAAGGCCTGTTTAGTGTTTGGTTGGTTACCTTTGGGTTTATGTCACCGTCTATTCCCTCCATTTAGAAATAAATAAAATCCTTCTTGATGGTTTCAAAGTGCAGATCAGAGGTCAGTGACTTCCAGACACGTGAATCTGCTGCAGAAAGGGGAAAAGAAAACCTGATCTAAATATATTCACTTCTTTGGTTGCATTTAACACTCCCCTAATGGAAGATAAAAGAACTGAAGTATAAAATGTTTATATGCACTTAACACCTATACTTCTCCCCTTTGTTCAGCTCAGAAGGAGATAAAGCCTAAATTGGCGATGCCTCTCATCAAAGGTGTTTTCTCTGCTGTGCTGCTGCTCGACGTGAACGGCGAGGCATTGTGTCTGTAGGAGGAGGAGGAGGGGAATGAAGTGTTCACCTACAAGCAAAAAAGAAACTTTGGTAATTGGCATAACACAAATAATGAGAGGCTATGCAGGGAAGTGTTTGAAGAGCGGTCCTGATCAAGATAAGATTGGAGACAGTATCACGAGAGAGAGCAAGTGTTTTTCTGTCTGCTGCAGCTGAAAGCAAACTTAAGTGACGGAGTTGCTTATAGGGTGAAGCAGACGCTGCAGAAACAAGCAGACTAAATGGGGTTTGGGGTGTGACGAGGACGTGCATGCACAGAATGCATACGTGCATTCAACTGCTGTTTGGAGCAACACAAAGACGACACAACACTGGCTTTTGTCTTATTTATTCAACATTTATCAAGAAGCGGTGAAGCGGTAGTCGCCCACTAGTGGACATGGAGCCACTGAGCTGTTCATTAATTCTGAAAATGAATATTCTTCAGAACTCTGTTTGGAGAGCTGACTGTGGGCCTGTTTGTACCAAAGTGAGCTCAGAGGTCAGATTAAAAGAAAACTGTTGATCAAGCTGTGAACATCTTTAGCAGCTAAACTGTTGGAGCTGATAGATTTCACTATCTGTTAATGAGTGGATGCTTTGAAACTGCATCAAGAAAAAACCAGCAGACAAATGTGGTTTTACTTGTGGGGCTTCTTGTTGGTGTTATTGTGTCCCTGCATGTCCTGAATGAAACTCTGGACAATAATCCTGAATGCTGCCGGCTGAGCTTCTTATGTGGGTGAAAATTAGTGAAAACAAAAAGGTGAGAAAAAAATTGTCCTGTTTGAAAAATTAAACTGAATGCTTTCCACTAATATTCCTAATCATGTGGATGTGTCTGCAGCCTCTTTTCCTTTATTCTAAACAGCTGCAGAGCGAGCTGACACCAGGGCAGACCTGCATGATGGAGCTGACAGCTACTTACAGGAAAACTTCACTCATAGCTTCTTGTGTGATTTCTAAAAACAAACCTGTTGTAGCTGCAGACAGAGAAACTCAGATATTTTTTAACAACCTGCTTCTTTTTTTTCTCTTCCTCCATGTGAGCAGTGTGCTGTTGTTTGGGCTCCACATGATTGATGCTTGACTTAATCCAGTGCTCTCCGCGCCTTCCCAGGAGGCTGAGGCGGTCTCTTTGTGCCTCTCTGTCCCATGTGAAGCAAACCAAAGCGGGAGAGTGAGGGTCATAGCTATTCGGCAGGGTACCAGATCCTTCCCACCGGCACATCTGCATGTGAAATCGCCATTTCACCCCTCCACACTCCCTAATTGTTGCTAAAATTATTTGTGAAATTGCCTTCCACCAGGAGTGTTTTCCACGGCAATTGTCACACAATTTTATATGCGCGGTGGGCCCACAGAGCTGACACACGCACCTCTGCTTCCTGCCATATGTGCTCCTTCTATTCGCCTTTAATAGCGCGCATTATTTTTTTTTCTCAACAATTACCTTTAAGCAATTATTCCCGTGCGTGGTGCGGGCCACGCCAACCTGTTGTCATCAATAGCGGGTCGATCCCGGCGTTGTAATTACCGCACAGAGCTATAGGAGCGCGTTCACACGTCCACGCTGCGCGCGTTTACTTAATTGAAAGGTTAACAAGCCGAAAGCATCTGGTAGTGTCACCCCAGCCACCGGGCAGGGCCGCTTTTACGCACTTTGTCCGCTCAGAGAGCAGCGCGCAGTTATTAGGGGCCGTGGTTTATTTATTATTATTGTTATTGTTATTATTGTTATTGTGATTTAAACGCAGCGCTGCGTGAAAGCCTCCACGGAGGAACTGTAGACAGCCAGAAGTTTGATGGAGCACAGCGTGGTCTAGGTGTATTAATTTAGACATATTTCCAAATATGGTTTTTATTATTTAAAAAAAATGAAAATTAAGGAAGAAAAATTGGCTGTTATTTACCTGAAGAAAATATTGTAAATAAGCTGCTTTTTAACGAGTTTCCTTTAAGTTAGAATTTCTGTTTCTGGTCTTATTGCCATTAGTGCATTTTATACAAGATGTATTTATAAAAACAATAATAAATGAAATCAATAAAAATAATGTGGAGTTTCTAGTGATGTAGGAAATAAAGAAGTGATGATTTTTATTAATATTCCTGAGGTCTGAGCAGCTGGATGTCATGGGAGCAGGAGGACTGGATGGAGGATAACATTTAGATATATTAACACTTTGAACTGCTGTCGGTGTGTGAGAGAGGCAGCGCTGAATTAAAAGTGCAACGCGCCGCTGTGATTGGTCGGCCGGCTCCTGGCTAAACCCACTCGCTTTCATCCATAAAAGAAAGGCCGGCCAGCCTATGGGAGCGCGCCGCCGTCTCCTCCTACGACATGCACCAAAGTTGGCCACTTAAACTACTTCCAAGCAGCCAGCAGACATTCTCCTGAACCCAAACTACACCCAGGAAAAGAAAACCAGTGCATGCTCCCAGCGCAGACACTCTGACTCCTCCATCTCCCCCCAGCTCGCCTTTGCACAGGTTTATTTTTATTTTATTTTATTGTGTTTCCTGCTGCCCGTGTTCTTTATTTTCGCTCCGTCCATCGCACCAGAGGAGAGCATCTCTTGTTATTTTCCCCCCGGTGGAAGAAGGGCTCGTCCAGTTTCTCCGCCTGGGATTGGGATTTGACAGCAGCACAGCATCTTTTTTTTTTTTTTTCTGTTTTGACCGATTTGAACACATTCCTCCTTTTTTTAATTTTATTTTTATTTTTTATTTTATTTTATTTTCTTGGCCTGGACTTTTCTGAGACGAGCAGAGTGTGTGTGAGTAGCTGCAGGATGGCTACTTTACCCGGAACAGTGCCTCGGATGGTGCGTCCTGCGCCAGGCCAGAACTACCCCCGAACCGGCTTCCCTCTGGAAGGTGAGTACAGAACCCACGGCGTGTGTTTGGAAGTTGTGCCGACAGAACTCGTTAGCCGTCCTCTGCTAGTGACACGCAGCGCAGCTTGCTGTCGGCGACACGCTGGGGAATAAAAAGGTGGCGAACAACGAGGATGATTAGAGTTCACCTCCAGTCATGGTCACAGGAGAGAATTATAGGAGCAGCCCGCGGCCTTTAAACAACCTGCATCCATGAGGGCTTTATAGTTTTATCTGGCTCCATATTTACTCTGTTTATTTCTATAACCGTTTAGTTCGTTCAGGATAAATCCCTCCTCACTGCTTTTTCCACAAAATCCACCCAAAATATTTATTTTTATTAACGACAGATTTATTTTCTAATTTGTGCCTGTTGGTGGTTTGATGCTTTAATTTTTAAAATGTCAGAAAATGTGTTTTAACAAAAACTTAAAATTAAATTAACCTAGAATTTACCTTCAATTTATATATAGAAAAGGTTTCAGTGCATTTTAACTTTGCCAACTTTAACAGTCACACACACTCTCTCTCTGTCTCTCTCACACACACACACACAAACAAAAAGCAATCTAATTGGTAATTTTATTTTATTTTTTTTAACTCCCCCACACTCGAGCCGTCTGAACATATGGGCGGAAAAAAGACCCTTTTGTATTTGCATGCCTTTATGGAAACGGTTTTCCCATTACAGCCGCTCCGTGCTCAAGTGCTCCGGACCCAAATGTACCAAAACCACGTAGCGCGCAAGTGAGTCGAGCCGCGGGATTTGTTCAAGTGTCCTGCTGCTGGAAATGGCAATAACACACACAGCAAAGAGACGGCTCAAAGGATCACATCAATATTTGTACAGCATGACTAGGAATAATCAAGGTGGGAAGTGTCGCCCTCCTTAGTGTCTCTTGAATGTGGAATTGGATCCTGAAGTGGCCTCGGATGCGTCCTGTCAGCCAGGCACCGAACCGGATGAATGTGGCGCGACGCTCTCTTGAAAATGTCTAATCAGATAATGTGTCCATTAACAGTCAGCGGCGGCGCAAACATGGCGCTATTAGAGGCGCAGAGGACATGATGTGCTGTTTGTCTCTGTTGTTGTGTGTCGTGGCGCAGTGTCCACCCCTCTGGGCCAGGGCAGGGTGAACCAGCTTGGCGGAGTGTTCATCAACGGGAGGCCGCTGCCAAATCACATCCGACACAAGATAGTGGAGATGGCCCACCACGGCATCCGGCCCTGCGTAATCTCGCGACAACTGCGAGTTTCTCACGGCTGCGTCTCCAAGATCCTCTGCCGGTACCAGGAGACCGGTTCGATCCGTCCGGGGGCCATAGGAGGCAGCAAGCCCAGGGTGAGTGGGGGTCCGGTGGTGCCGGAAACTGGGCCGCAGCGGCACCAGGAGGAGGAGGAGGAGGAGGATGGGTGGTGGGGTGGCACGAGGCGCATGACACCTGGGTGAACCCACATCTGATGTTTGTGTCTGTGGGACTGATGGAGGGAGACCAGATAAATAATGTTGGACCTCCTCTAACAATAATAATAATAACAATAACATCCAACCGGTGGCTGATGTCTGCTGTAATTTAATTTATTTACATCCCAGCCCACCTGTAACATCATTCCTGTTTATCTAACTCTAAAAAAAAATAACTACATTTTAAATACTGGCAAAATGTTTATTCGATATTTTACACAATCATATAAATACATTTAGAAAATAAGAAAACATTTACCTAAAAAAATAAACAAGTGTAGTTTCAGGAGTATTTCATTTGAGTCTGTGGTGATTCATAATTGTAGAATATTAAATATTCTCTCTCTATATATATGTAATTTATATTTATGAAACACTACATTTTTAGTTACACATATTTAATCATTTTTAGTAAATAAACATTTTGATTTAACATTTTAAATAATTGATTTATAGCATCATTAATAATTCTTACTTGTGTTTTTATTTCTGTTTAAGCCCAGATTCCTGCTAAATATACAGATAAAATTAGAATTTTAATTTTTAATATTTGATTTTGATGTCTTTTATTATTTTATTTTATTTTATTCGTTCTTTTAAAAACAGAACACCCCAGTTAAACCTGAAACCCTCTCTGTCTCGTCCCCTCCCTTCACACACTTCCAACCTAAAGCAGGTGGCAACTCCCGACGTGGAGAAGCGGATCGAGGAGTACAAGAGGGAGAACCCGGGTATGTTCAGCTGGGAGATCCGGGATAAGCTGCTGAAGGACGGGGTGTGCGACAGAAGCACAGTTCCTTCAGGTGAGGCTTCATCTGGTAAGCTGCACTTTTTTTTTCTTACTACGAGCGAACACTGCAGCATCACTTCTGAATGAACACCACTTTGAATTCAACATGTTTTAAGCCCCAGTTACTGATAAAGAGAGAAATGCTTCAGCTAGAGCACACCTACAGCTGTTTGACCCAGAAAGGAATAAATCAGCCTGTTGAAATGTGGCTCCAGTGCTCACCAGTCAGTTTACTGTGTTTAGTTTTTTAATATGGAATTTTATTTTGATATTTTATTTTTTGTCTCAACGCTGCTCCTTCATGTTTAAAAACTTTTCCTGTGATATTTCTGTCTGGTGTAGCCTTCTAAAAAAAAAAAAAGAAAAAGAAAAGAAGAACACTGTATGATAGGATTACTATGGTTCTTTTATGGGTTTTAGGGCTAATCACCCATTTACCTTTTTGTTGCCATTAGTGAGCTCCATCAGCCGCGTTTTGAGGGCCCGATTTGGCAAAAAAGATGACGAGGATGACTGTGATAAGAAGGATGAAGATGGAGAAAAGAAAACAAAGCATAGCATCGATGGCATCCTCGGTGATAAATGTAAGTTAACAGCAGAAAATATATACAGTATATATACATATATATGGCCCTTTGTATCTGTCTGAAATAACAAACCATTATTATTATTATTATTATTATTATTATTATTATTATTATTATTATTATTATTATTATGAGTAAGCCTTGTAAGCAGGAAGCGCATGTTTTAAATAGACTTCCTACTTCCCGTCCTCTTGGGAAATCGTCCCACATCCGAGCCGCTGCAGCAGCTAAACGCACAGAATTTATTCCTGCTTTTAACTCCGAGCCAGCAGTTGTTCATTCACTCAATTATTTATGAGAGCCTTGGCAGAAGGTATTTAACTGCAGAAAATTAATTTGTGTAGCGAATTCCTCCTCATTCATTCATTCACTCCTTTAACGACCCCTAAACGACAGCTGACAGTTGACCCGTTTCACAATCGATGTCAGCGCGCTGACATTTCACCACTTGTCAGTTAAAGTGGAAATCAATGCTCGTATTATTATTTGCTCTATTAGTGATGCTGCTGGGAGGGAAAAAATAAAGTGATGCAGGTATTGGCTTTCACTGTTTGTCAGCACGCTTGTTCTAATACCCGTCAGAGGTTCTGCTCGCTCCTATGTGACTTTAATTTATTTTTTCTGTAGCATATTTTATTTAATTTTTTACATTTTCAGACATGACGTGAGGGACAGGCTGACACACGTGGAACATTACAGGCAATTAAAGCTTAAATTACAAGACGTGATAATTTCCTTATTCTGGGTAATTTGATATTTAAAGGGGATGAAGTGGCATCTTATGAGAGCACCGGGTTTTTTTTTATTCTCATATTTTATTGGTTTATTGCTGCCATGAAGTGGAAAACGCTCAACCTCCAAACCTGGTGAAGGTTTATTTGATGATCAAACGGGCTTCTAGGTTTAAAAGAAAACCACAAAAGCTTCGATCCTTTTTCTTTTTCTTTCTTTCTTTCCTTTTTTTTTTTAACCTCAAAAAGACACTGCCAAAAATTTTTCAAACTTGAAGATGAACTTCAGGAGCACAGCCTCCCCTCTATTGACGCCTTTCTGAAGTGAAGAGGCCGAGGCACAAAAGCAAATCCTGGAAAGCAGGGCAGCGAAAAGGGAGGCTCGTCCATTCTCATTCAAAAATCTGGTAAAAGAGAGAGAAAACTTTGGACAAAGGGCAAGAAGAGACATAAAAGGAGATGAATTATTCAGTACGCCCCGCTGCTAGATAGTTTTGTAATTTTATATAATGGCCCGTTGGAGAAGAATCAGTTGATAGCGTGAAAACGGTCTTTTTTCTGTCACACCACGCGTTAATGTTCTGAGAAAAGTGTCACCGTTTTGTTGCAAATATCTCCAGTGTCCATATAGATGGGCTGCTGCTGCTGCTGCTGCTGCTGCTGCTGGCGGCTCCGGATGACCAGCAGCTTCTCCAGGCTCTGGTCTTTACGCGCGTCGGCCGCACGATGCTGTCAAGTGTTCAGTGCTTTATTATTGAGTTTCAACTGTTGGTGCTAAATATCCACACAATGTTCCTGCTTCAGTTTTTTTTTTTTTCCTTTGCGCTGCTTGTGTTTTAAATTGGGATTGAATTAGGTTGCTATAAAAAGAGACGCACCCTGCGCGTAATGCAGTTTAGACGAGCAGCATCCGGATGGCATTTAATAATGTTAATACTTATTAGAGTAAGCGCTGCAAACGATGGCTGCTGAATAGGTGGCTGTGTTCGTGCAGGCTGTAATAGCTCGCAGGCATGGTAAGAAATGTATTTATCCCCAATCAGCCCCTCACTCTCCGAGTTTGAAGCACAGCCCTTATGTGGAGAGAGGTTTTAAAGCAGATTAAATAGAGCCTTTTATTTCTTTTCACTTTCATCTCAGAGCGGAGCTCACAGTGGCTCGCCCTGGGCACAAAATTCATGAGATTTTTTTTTCGTTTACTTATCCAGATTTTAAGACTTTATTTATTTATCTATTTGTTTATTAGGTCTGCCTATTTGGTTTTTTCAGAGGTTACATCACGGATTTATCCCGGCTCTAATCTCGCTGTAATAAACGGTAAACTCATATTAAAATAATGTACGTTTAGTTTTTCTGCGTGGAGCGAGCTGTTATCTCTGTGTAAACCATCAGAACTCTGTGCATGCACCGACAACACTTCTCCCTGGCTATATGTGGACCTTCTTTATCCTGGTAACTGTTTGTGTTCTGGGCTTAACGAGCCGGATCCTGGTCCTAAAAATTTTGTGCAGAAACTATTTTCCAATCCGAGGTGCGGACTTTAATGGTCATGCACATAAACGTTTGATTACGCGCAATAAGGGCTGCGCAACACCTGCACAAACGTGGACGTGCTTTTGTTTTGCGCCACATGAATCAGCTGTCCGGCGTGCGTGCGCCCCGCTGACGCACCCGCCCGAGCGTCAGATGAGGTGAAGACACCCGATGGACACTTGAGCAAATCGCAGGATTACCTGAGGTCCTCGGTCTAATTAAACAGATGCCAGGTGGGATTATTGGAGAGCGGCGGGACGCAGAGTGACAGAGAGACCAGGCCAGGCTGCCTTCACTCACATGTCATCTGGAATAAATACATGAGCTGCAGGTTATTACAAAAATACGACCAGATAAAACAAAACAAGACGCTTCCTCTCCTACTGCAGTGTGGGCTCTAATCAACATGTATTTTATTTAATTTCAATTTGCGCCAACAACTCCTCCTCGGGTTGGTCCTCCGGGTGGCTGGACTGGGCTCAGAAACAAAGCGACCCAACAGAGTCTAGCTGCTGCTGCTGCTGCTTATAGCGGGGAGAAGTGTGAAAAGCTGCCCTCCGCCGCGCCTCCACGTCACGAACACACAGGCGCTCCTCACGCACACACACGCACACGGTGGAGCGCGCACAGCCGGCCTCTAAGTGTATGGTAATATAATGTAGCTATATTTCGGGTCTAAAGCCGTGCTGAATGAGAAGGACAGGGGAATGAAGCGAGAGACCACTTCAAACAAATCCATCTGGAACAGTGTGTGAGAGAGATTCACTGAAAGTATGGGGAAGTTATTTAGCTATTAATAACGTTTTTTCCTCAGGCATTCAGAGTGACTCCATCTGCACTTTCTCGCAGCTATTTGGCTGGGTGGAAATTGAGGGAGACCCAAATGTTGGGCAGAGATAACATACCCATCATAGCCCAGACCCTGCGCTGTGCTTCACTGCATTAAACTCGGATTAACCTCCCCTGTCCCCGCAGCCACTCAAGCCACATTTCACTGGAATTTACATCGGTAGGCCTACATTTCTCATAAAGGGGGCAGGAGCTGAAAGACACGACCTTATTATTATTATTATTATTATTATTATTATTATTATTATTATGTGGATCGAATTAATTCAATTTAAACATATATATATTATATAATAGCCTGTATCAATTTTAGAACGCCAGTTTCATATTTTTAATTTACCACAAAGATTTATTTTTTATTTTATTTTAATGAATTAATTTTGTGAACAACAAAAATCGTAAAACTAACAAAACAATGAGCTATAAACTACAAATGGCGTCAACTTAAGGAGCTCGTTTTAGACATTTTCTAGCGTTTAAAAAAATTATTTTTACATTTAAAAACGCCTGTAAATGTTTTTTTTTCTTTTTTTTAAATAAAGCTTATTTATCTGAGGAGACAGTAATTAATTAATTACTACCTGTGTTCTTTAATCACTGGCAGCAGGACAAGACTCAGGGACAGTTTTTCAGCAAATAATTAACACCACCTACAACAAATAATAACATTTAGCTCGCTAGCTTCATTTCCGCTAGCTTAGCTCCGTGGTTGTTAGGCAACACGTTGCTTAGTAACGGCTGTGACAAATCTACATTTTAGTTTCACTAATGTGCTATAACTGTACATTAAAATTAGAAATAAACACCCCACTATTTTTGTGTATCATTTTTAATTCCGCCTGTTTTAATTCCCAGATCACGGTGTAATTTGTTGTTTAATGACATATCGCGAGACTTGATGACAGGCGCTACAACCGCTGTAACGAATCGGCCCATTGGTTCCGGCGCGGTAACGTGAGCAGGCCGCGCGGCATCACAACACCGGAGCCGGTGCTGGTGAGCGGTAATGAGCGGCTTTAAGCTGCAGGCCTACAGCGGCCCGGACGCTCGGTTCGGTGTCAGCAGCTTTAATGTCGGCGGCATTAGGCTCCGAAATCAGGAAGAAAAAAAAACTGGAGTAGGCTTAAATTCATTCTGTGCTGGCATTTGACTTTGATCACATGAGAAATATTCATGGAAGCACAAACAGCGGCTCCGTCACCATTATCCGGCCTGACAGTGATACCTCTCAAGGCTGTCTATTAATTAAAGTGGCGCTTACCATGTGGGACGACTTCCTATCTGGGCACAAAAATGGTTTTTCCATCTCTTGTGGGGCTCTTGAAAAGGGGCAATCTTTCCTCTCCAGCTTCTTGTGGGAAATTTAAAAGTGTACAGAGGAAGACATGGGGATTTCTAGCTCATTTATAAAGACGAGTTTATAATCCTTTCCTGCTTAATAACTTAAAAGGATTCAATTTCTCCCCTCATTTATGGGGTTATGATCACACATTGTTAGGCGCAGATAGCGACGTTTCAAGGTTAACATTTCCTGCTCCGAAAAATATCAGAATATAAGCTGCGGGCCCATAGGTGCCCTTTGTTTAGCCCGCAACGTCCCCGTTCAGATGTTGTTCCTATTAATGTGATAACAGGACGGAGCCGAGGAGACCAGGCGATAAGATGCCACCGAGCATTTCTTCTTCTTCTTTTTTATTTTAAGTGATGTGATATTTAATTACAGCATATAATTTCACCATCGAGAATTAAAGTCAGTAGGCTGAGGATTGGGTGTCTGGTTGGGGGTCTGCAGCCATACGAGACAAATTAAAGAGGAAGCGCTGCCCTCCAGGTATCCTGTCACAACAGTGGGGCGCTTCAGCTCCTCTCATTTCTGTCTGTGTT